CTGGGTTTGTCCCTTTTTAACCCAGCATTTTTTAGAGTGTACACTTTAGGTACTAATCTGTACCTTTAAGGTACTAATATTTATCACTTAGGCGTAAATTAGGTACAAAGATGTACCTTTTAGCTTGTGCACCATAAAGTACTGCACCAGTGACAGCTTTCTATCTTTTTTTCTGAGAGTGTACAGCATTTAAGCACCCAGGAAGTCTCATTTTTCTTCTCAACAGGCGTTTTAACGATCTTAAGCAGCAAGACAGAATATTTTGTGTGCTGTGCGTTTTTATAAGTGCTTATGGTGTCTTTTTGACCTTTAACCTCCACTAATGAGATAATTTTCTTTGATTCTTATGTTAAATGCAAAACCCAAATGAATGGCTTTGAGGAAATGAATTAATCCCTATTTATATATTTTTTTGAAAATCTATTTATATGTTTTTCCCCCCAAGTTATTAATTCATTGTCTAATACAAATAATAATAATCATTTACTCACTTCTACACTGTTTCAAACCCGAATGGCGTCCTTTGTTCTGTGGATGTTTTGCAGAATGTTCACACTGCTCTTTTTCCATACTACGTCAGCACAATAAAATGCTCCCTATCAGTATTTCAAGGGATTCATGCACTATATTCCAAGACTTCTGAAGCTTTTTATGATGAACAGACCAAAATGTCTTTATTTAGTGAAAATTTTCCTCTCTGTTGTAGTATATAGAGCTACGATGAAAAGAAAATTCACATATTGTCTAAATGCATATTATAGAACTCCTTGTGATTAATTCATGTGCATTTGTAATTTTTTTTGACCTCCTAGTATTTAATCAAAATGTCTTAATGTAGTCTTCCAGTATCATTCCTGATGTATGCAGGAATCCTCCAATCATTTAGTCTGCTTATACTCCGCCCCTTCAAGATCCATTCATCTGTCTCCACTTTTGAGTGCCACGCCCACGTCCCAACATCCAATCAACAACCGAAAGATAGAATCAAGTCCCCGCCCTACTTTTTTTTTTTTCATTTTCGATAATTAGTTACATTCTGATGTAGGCCTACATCACAATACAGAAGAAAAATCTCTTGCTACTTTAGTTTTATCGCAACTTTAAATCTCATTAACCAGAAAAGAAAGTATCAGTACTCATACTTGGCCTTGTTGCAACTCAGGCTTATTGGAAATACGTGACTCTGCCTACATTTCTGCAAAACTTGAAATACGTTGCTCTTGGTACATTTTGCTGAACTTTGAAGACACGTCCACAGGAGGCGCTATAAGGGGAAGTTGTGGCCTAATGGTTAGAGTCGGACTCGTAACCCAAAGGTTGCGGGTTCGAGTCTCGCACCGGCAGGGATTGTAGGTGGGAGGAGTGAATGTACAGCGCACCTTCAATACCACGACTGAGGTGCCCTTGAGCAAGGCACTGAACCCCCAACTGCTCCCCGGGCGCCGCAGCATAAATGGCTGCCCACTGCTCCGGGTGTGTGTTCACGGTGTGTGTGTTCACTGCTGTGTGTGTGCACTTTGGATGGGTTAAATGCAGAGCACTAATTCCAAGTATGGGTCACCATACTTGGCCACATGTCACGTCACATATAAGCGATATAATTTTTTCTCCATTGCAGATGCGGTTTTTGCAGTGCTGTACCAGGTGAGCTACTGAGCAAGTTTACCATATCAGAAAAGCCATATTGAGAAGAACGTGATGCAAATGTTAAAATGTATGCAAAAGTGTTTAGAGGACATGACAGTATTGTGCAAAGAACCGCTTGAAAAATCAAGCCTATATTTATCGAACATCTGTCCCGTAATCATAATTTGTGTGAAAAGGACCAAAAGTTGTTGATAAAAACTGCAGCAAAATGTATGCATCACACATTTCTAATGAGCCTGGGCTGCCTTTATAACATTAATTTATCTCTTATCTAATTTATCTTATCGACATTCCTGCTCCACAGAAGAATCTATGTCATAGATTTTGAATGACAACGTGCAAATGGTAATTTCCCTTTATCAAGCCAAATTGCCAAACTGACCCATATTTATTTAGATAGATATTTATGAGTCACTAACTGAATTGACTTGTTGTACTGCTGTTTCATGTGGTGCTGTAAAACGTACTGTATTGTTGACAAAGCTGGATATCCAGTTAACATTTACCTCAACATTGTATTTGTCCGTTTTGTACAGCAAGGAAAATATTAGCGAACCAAAATTTTGTGAATGTTAGTTTTATATAATTTATATAATTTTACTTTGTTAACCTAGAACAGATGCATTGGTATTTGTATATTTGTAATTAGTGTTAAAGTCAACATTAAATCAAAACTGACCCTGTTATCTTTGTATTTACCTGTTCCTAGTCTTACAATTCATCAGGACATCAGAAAAATGACTTGCTTCACCTCTGAAACGGCTTTCCTTTTCAGCTGAAATCAACAAGGCTGCACAGGAAAGAAAATTACATTATTAAACAGCCAAATAGCTATTGGTCATACTAAAATCTTGAATGGCAGTAAACTGAATGGCAGTTACTGTAATAACTTTTACAGCAATAATACCAAAAAACAGTAGTGAAACATAATTACCATTTATTATTTGATCAATCAGCCTCCAGAGCCTGGTCAAAAAGCTTCCTGAAAAACCTAGAAAATATACCACATTATGGAAGTAATATGGGTTGTGAATGTAATTTCATGCTGACTTTGTCAAAGTGATCATATACCGTGAAGCAAAAGTTGACATGCATGTCATCAAACAAATGTTATGGCTTAAAGATCTTAATTTATATCATGCAATAAGACTGTAACATGTGCAGTGAGTTTATAACTTGTATGTAATGGTTGGAAACACAATAAACAGCTTGGGTTTGTGGAAAAGAGACGTATAAATAGAGAGTGATGATGGAAAAGAAGAAAAAAAAGAGAATGAAACTGGAGATATGGAGTGTGGTCGTGATCCAATCTCTAATTCAGAGTTCACGTTTCGGCCGCCGCACACACCACACAGGACAGCATTAATACACCGAATGACAAGAAACAACCTTGTTAATGCTGTTACCTCAACATGAGGAACAAAAACCCAGGTCAACGGTTACATCAGTAATGAGTCATTAGCTGTTGTAAATCTGTAATGTGAGTACTGGACAGAGAGAGAAAGAGAGGAGCCTGAATATAGAATGTAAATCTTGGGTTCTGGATGTAAATTTGTTCCATTTCCACTGAGAAACTGAGTTTTTGATATAAAAAACAAAACAAAAACAGACCTACCATTTCTTAGAATTTTTTTTTAATAATTTTAAATATATATTAGAGTCTGCAGTCTGTTATGCTCACCAAAGCTGCACTTCTTTGATGAAAAATATAAACAGTAATATTGTGAAATATTATTACAAATTAAAATAACTGTTTTCTATTTGAATATATTTTAAAATGGAATTTATTCCTGTGATGCAAAGCTGAATTTTCAGCATCATTACTTCAGTTTTCAGTGTCACATGATACTTCAGAAATCATTCTAAAGATTTGCTGCTCAAGAAACACTTATAAATGCTGTGCTGCTTAATTTATATATACATTTTTTTTAAATATATATATATAAACTAATAAATTTTTTTCAGGATCCTTTGATAAATAGAAAGTTCAGAAGAGCAGCATTTATTTGGAATAGAAATCTTTTGTAATATTATAAATGTCAATTAACAAATATCAGTTATGTCTTATGGATTATGGTACTTTGGCCAAAAGCGATGGTTTAAAGCTTGTTTCTTACAAACATGCAGGTGTTTCCTTCACAAGATGTTAACTGATGGAATGGAGTGGTGTGGATTACTTACCTTACATGTAACAAGTAACAACAATTTAATTCAGTCCAGTAAGTGTTGATCTTGAAACATGACTAATATACAAGTTATTCTTACATTTAATTAAAAAATTTCAAAGCAAAAAGACACATGAACCAGGAGCTTTTTAAAATTATACTAAAAGGCCTTTCACTTACTAAAAAAGTAGAAACTATCAATGAGACGAATGGCGTGTAGATTCTTTAGGCTTTACAGGGTTAAAAACTCTGTCTGCTATTAATTACTGTTCATTAATGAGAGTGGAAATGAAACGTGAATGATCATTACATATTTGTTTCTAAACAACCGTGATGACTGTGTTAGTTTCTCCGCTGGATCCGGATTTGTGATGGGAAAATAAGGACAAAACTTAAGGATGGCATTGCATGGAAACAATCAAAGTTTAAGGCAAGTTTGTGCTATTTAACTCAATCATCATTATTGAATATTTTGTAAATGTTAGCAAATTGCAAGAGATGGCTGGTCATGTGATCCCAACCAGGCAACCACCAGCTTAAGAAAAAAACTAAATCTTGTGAGTGCTCATTTGTATACATATCGAAAGTGCTATTCTTGTGTGTTGTGGTTTGGTAGTGCATATGCTCCAAAATACAATTAAATGCACAAAATAAGTAAAAAGGGTGACACTAACTTGATGTGCCTTTGTTACACATTACATGCATTTCAAAACTTCACGTTACCACTTCTTCGTAATTATTTCAGAAATTTACAAGCAATTTCTGTGTGAAAACTAAATTTTTCTTTCCAGTGTAAACCTAATATTTCAGTAACAAGACACATCAAAATAAAGTGTGACTGCGAAAAGTATTCATTTCTTATTGAATTCTATAATAGAAAAAACTACTTGGGGCACCTTTACAAGTTGTCCGACACACTGGACGCGTTTCCCAGAATAATGTTTTGTCCTCTCTTCACTATACCTGTCAATAAAGAAGAATGCATCACATAAAATGCAATAAATGAAAAGATAAGTGAACAAGAGTCACAAACGGACAGGATGAGTCTTGCAAGTAAGAGAAGTAGAAAATTTATTGCAGTATTTGTTCCATCAGAGGCATGTGGGTCCCTTTACGCTGAGCAGGGCGACCTGTAATCGCAAATCTCCTTCGACACAGCCCTCCTCACAGACACTGCATGCTATACACAATAAATTACAGCCACACGGTGCTATCGTACAAAATGGACAAACAGCTCGACAGAGAGAATCATCATCATCAGCCAGTAAAGGAGGAGCTAAGCTATAGAAAGCCGATTGACGCTAAGAAATCCAAAAAGAAAATGGGGAAAAAAAGGAAGAAATAAAGTAAAAACATCAACAAACTAATTCTTTCAACATTCAGTATATATTTAAATTTATTTTATAGATATAAACAATATTTTTTTATGTTAAACTATGATACACTGGGAGTAGAAATCAAACAACCAGAAATCTGCTGCACAACAGCGAAGGAGCACCCATACAATGTTTCTCCAAACATTTTATTCCTGCGATACGACGATGCACTCTGGCGCAGAGGGTCAAATGTCACCGCCAGACCCAGAGTGCATCAGAAAGAGAAAGAGTCTGTAGTGTAGAATAGCCGCTCGTGTTTGTGTGTGGTTGGCTGACCCAGGAGATGTTTGGCTGATGGCATATGGAGAGACGGTGTGTGTGTGTGAGTGTTGCATTAGGCTGAGAGGATCTGAGATGGGAGGTATGTGCGTGCGTGCGAGCATTTACGTATTATTAGCTGGAATTCCTGTCCTTGGAAGCGTAGAGTGACCGTAGAGTCTGCGCCACTTTATGGTTGAGCTTGTTGCCACTGGTGAGTATGATTTTTTTATAGATGATGTCAGTCTCTCTGATGGAGTCCACCCAAGGCACCAGCTTGCGTCCGTCCCGCCGCTTCGCCTCGGCCCAGGAGCTGGAGTACGAGCCCGCCATCCAGTGGATTCTGTAACCGTCACCGTTCCTCTGGATCACACGCGCGATCTGTGGCCGGTCTCTGTATTTGGGGCAGTGGATGGCGATGATGTCGAGCGCACTGACGGACTCGTTCATGTTTGTCAACAACAGGTCCGCCGAGTCTGCCGAGCGCCTCCCGCGTCGAGACGCCTGTGAAGAGAGACAAGGAAACAAAACGTGAGCAACGACTGGTCACACGGTCTCTTAAGTAGCCTACTGGCACTAACAATTTATTTGAATGTGCCCTTATTACATGTATTTATTATACAGGGTTTCTGCAGGTTTTATGAAGGTACATTTAAATAGGTCATATGATGCTGCTAAAAAGAACATTATTTTGTGTATTTGGTGTAATGAAATGTGCTTATGCGGTTTAATGTTAAAAAAACACATTATTTTCCACATACTGTACATTTTTGTTTCTCCTTGATGCCCCGCCTTTCTGAAACGCATCGATTTTTACAAAGCTCATCGGTCTGAAAAGCGAGGTGTGCTGTGATTGGCCAGCTATCCAGTGTGTTGTGATTGGCCGAATACCTCAAGCGTGTGATGGAAATGTTACGCCCCTTACCATACTGTAATGCCCGGTCAGGCCGGAGTGACGAGACAAAAACATTAAAACCCATTATAAACGAGGCATTTGTTGCATCCAGTGGGGACATAATTACAGATTATAATGACTTATA